GAGAGAGAGAGAGAGAGAGAGAGAGAGAGAGAGGAACAGTGAGAGGAGGAGAAGGGGTTATGACAGCCAGAGGCGCTGTCTCCCCTTTCTCTGTGTTACCCCCAAACCATGAAACAAGCCTATCCATGACGACTACTCCCTTTATCTAATTTCCCCGACTGAAAGCGCTACCCCTGCTCATGCCGTCCAATCACATCTGAATACTCTGAATATACCTGTCATTGAGTATGGTAATAGAGGGAGGCCAAATGTAAACAGTGGACAGCCGTTTTGCTGCTGTGCACGATCAATGGCAAGTACAGTTAAAAATCTGGTCAAATCACAGCATAACAACACCAAATGTTTTTTTCATGAGACGAAGAACCATTGAAACAGCAGCAACACACACATATCAATTCCTGCAGATATGTACTTGCATTGTTTGTCATATAACTAGAAGCATTTTCTATTACTAAATGCACAGCACCATCGTCACAAATAAACTAAGCTCTGTTATCATAGACAAAGGATTTTTTTCCATGTTCCACTTTCAAATAACATGCTTACAATTTATTATGGTTTTATAACCCTATGTGTGCTGGCTAAAAACAGTTGCACGATATCACAAAGATATAGAGCAATTACAAATAAATTCAAACTAATTATAATGAAATGAATTAGTGTAATTAAGATGTGTGAAATATCTGCATGACAGTATTTCTTATTTATTTTTAACACAGTAATATCCTGTTTTACAGTTTTTCTTCAGTTATGGTATCTGCACATGTGCCTTTATTAATATTCATTCAAAAATCAAATTTAAAAGAAGAATCCTACCTTCTTGAAAACATTTAAAAAACCACTCTGATCCCAAGTAATGAGCTAAAAATTAAAATGGCCTATTTTCAATTAGCTTTAACAAAAACACTGTCTGTGGTAAAACCATCATTCTGGTGGCAGCTCACAGTTCTCACAAGCACAATACTTCCAATATCACAGTCAAGGATAAGGATGAGATATTAGCTACACCGAACACAACGTCTGACAAACACACATTTGAAATAGAATACATATAAAATAAACCCAATGACATTCCTATACCAATGCCAGGAACTGTAATAATTAAACATAAATATGATGATGAGACAAGCCAGGAAAATCAGACAGGTAAGATGGCAGTAAACATTTCTGCTGTCTTTGTTTTGTAACAGAAGACGGAGAGAGAGGGAGGAGGAGGAAGAGGAGAGGAGTGTTACTGTCAGATAGGGGAGGAAGAGAGATCACTCGAGTTCTCGCACAGCAGACCTGCCCTATACACTGCAACACCTTTGAGTTTCTAATCACTGGAATCCAAACACATACGATTTGCTGTCTTAGACACACACAAATAATACTGGGGTAAACATACCAAAGCAATACGAAAAGACGAAGAAGACAAATATTAATTTTATAACTGCTATAAATTGATCAACCCTTTTTCCCCCAGTGCTAATCTCTTCCCGTCTGTTCCTCTCCAGACTGAAAGGTAGGATTCTGTTTATCTGACCTCTTCCCCTGATTCCTCCTCTATGGCCCATGGCTATTTGACCCCTCCACCCAACCCCCTCCTGCCCTCAGCCCCCCTTTTCCTTTCTCTCCCTGACAGCCTTAACGTTTTGTTTTATTAAACCTGTTACCAGTTGTTTTTTGTTGCTCTCATCCTAAACTAAAGCCAAAGTCGTAATCCAGCAGATGCTGACGACCACAAGTGCTTTGTGTGGCTCCCAAAACATACCAACAACTACCATCACCCTTTTTTCTCCAAGCGAGACCCACTCTCTCACCATCGTCCCTCGGCTGTTTGCGCGGGGTTTCCTCTTTCCTTTTTATCTCTGCACTCACTCCATGACCCCTGTTCCCCCTGTTCCTTGCTGTCTGACCTACACCCCCCACCCACACACACAGTTTCCCACCCCCCTTTCTGCTTCCCCCAAAGGAACACATATCCTTGCCACTGCTCGCTCGCAAAACCTATTTTTCCTCTTTCTTTTCCCGTCTCTATGTCGCTAAAAATATCCGAGGCTGGTGAATAATTCTCGCAGCCTTTTCTGGCTATATAGCTCCATCACATCCGAAACCAAATACTATTTTTTAATCACATTAATGGAGATTTTTTTTGGCTTGAAAATACACCCAATTGTTAAGATAACAGTTGCATTTCCGTTTTATTTATTTTTCCGATCAGATCCATTTTTCGGCGAGGTTGGTTATAATGCAATCATAGGCAGTTAAACTGCGTATTTTATTTGGAAAAGGCCCATTCAGTTTAGTAAGGCTGCTTTTGTATTTCCTCCGAGAGTACAGACTATTCTATTTTGGGTAAGAGAAAGATGTCTTGTTTAACTTGCACACAAAAAAGAAATCCTGCCAATGTTAACTGGCTAAGCGGCTACTAAATGCATGCAGTGACCTATAGGTTTAGTTTGGACCGTACTTTAAGTTTCCGGCAGTAACTTTGGAATGATTATGGCTGCTTAAGGTCAGACTAATAGGGCAATGTTTTGTTTTCATTCCGGCCAGCATTTCTCGGGAAAAAAAATGTTCTCCTGAAAGTCAGATACGGTAGCCAAGTAGTTGGAGGCAGCAGCAGCTCCAGCCTGCCCTATGTCTTCCCTAAACCACATGTCTGTTCTCTGAAACGCAGCTCAGACTCTCGGGCTGTCCGTGTACAAGGTCCTGCTGATCCGCTCTTGTCATGAAGGAGACCCGGGGCTTCGTTCATCTCAACACACACATTCACACAACACACACACGCTCGCAAAACACGAGCCCATTCGCGCACGCACGCACACATACACACATGTCGATCGATTTGCATGTGACTTCGTCAGGGAATGAGCGAGAATCGACTTAAAAACAACGCTTCAAAAGAGCCAAACAGCGATGAAAAATAAAAAGACAAGATGGACAAAGTGGGGTAAAGGGGAAAAGTGTAGCTTGAGGAACTAAGACAGGGCGGAGGGATTGCACATTTCACAGAGAGACGTATCGAAGAAGAACAAAAATGTGTTTATCCAGAAGAGGATTTTGAAAGCATACGACGGTGCTGCAAACCCTTGGATGTAGCAAGTGTCAAATCTGTAAAAATAAGAAAGCGAGATGGTCCCTTTCGCCGGACGCACACGGACCCACAGGCTGGACTTGGAGCTCCTTTTCTGGGCTGCGCTCATGTGGAGCTGGCGCTGTCCTTCGTCCGCTCAACACAACCCCTTTTCTTATTGCATCTGTGCCTTAAAACACGTTTCTTGACACCCATAAGCCCTTTATACCTGTTCCTGATCCCACCGAAATGCACATATCTGTTTTAAAACCGTGTTTTTCTACGGTCAACTGCTTGGAGAGGATCGCTGTCTTGCCCATTTCTTATCTTCCATTCATGAGGAGGAGAGGACGAACGCTGATGTAAACACAGGTAACGATACGAATAAAATCGAGAATTAAACAAACTACTTGCATGAAATGAACTTGTGATCGCCAGTCATTTCTCACAATGTGAGAAAAACCAGCTTCGCTACACGTAGCGTGAACTACGAACAGATAGGAAAACAGATTCAGACAAGTCTACAGCGAAAAGAATAGGATCGTGGAAACAGAGAGGAAAAGAGACAAACGCAAAGTTGAAACTTACAATTTCTCGCTGCCGCTTTGTGATCCTCGCTTTTTAATCCAGTATTGAGATGATTTAGCTAAAGATCCCATCAAGGCAGTCCCCGTTTGGTCAGTTTGCGCTTAGGGTGGCAAAAGAAAGATCATTGTTGTTGCGGAGTGTAAAAAACCGAAGTAGGTACTATTAGTTGTTAAAGGCAATATAAAAATAATTTGGATGCAAAGCAGGCGATGAGTCTTGTGTTAGAGGGAGCGAGGAAGAGGTGAAAGTGAGATCTGATGATTGAAAAGAAAAAACTCTTTGGATCTTTATTCCTGCTAATTAGTTTCCTGCAAAAAATGGCTGTGATTAATTCAGTGCGCATGTGCTTCATTACACAGGCACGAAGGGAAGGGCTAATTAGCCGCCTTCTGGATCAATAAGATTCAGCAAAGGAGAGAGCTCGGGAGAGAGAGGGAGGGAGGGAGGGAGAAAGAGGAGGGAGGGAGGGATGGATAGATACAAGTAAAAAAAGAGGAAAGTAATGATCAGGAATTGAAAATATGGAATTAAGAACAGCGGAAAGTAAGAGTTTCATTAGACGGAAGACAGTGAAAGTTAATACTGAAGCAGGCAGCCGCAGCAGGCAATGCCCGACGCTACATGCACAGCTTTTTCTCCGCTCTTTTTCGACTTTTTCAAACGTTTTTGTCCCGGTTTTTGCCTTTTTAAATAAAAATATTTGAATATGCTTTGGCCACTTTAAGTACATAAGCGATCATGCTTTATTTTATTCTGTCTCTTTCAACCTAAGTCTGTCATTTTAGCCGTTCCAAAGCTGCATAGGACGGTTACTACATTTAGTTTACAGTCTGTTTGAACAACTTATTGAAATACATAACTGAGTTACGGCGGCTAGTGATTACACTGGAAACATTCTATTCTTTTGGATAGTGCACTTGTTAAAGTGTAAGCAATGATCGTATTTGCAAACAACTTAAACAAACACTTGCCAAACAATTAAAGCATGTAGCCTATAAAGCGATTTCTACATGTGCACTCGATGTACGACTGTAATCAGTAATAAACAGGGGTTATCGTAAATACAGTTTATACCTGGATATTATCACAGCTAAAACTGTATTTGTTTTTGTAAATATACATTTTAAGCATTGAGAGAAATACCACTTGCTCAGAGACAGAAGTTGACAATGCGAAGCTTCAAAATGTTAACTTTGATAAACTTGAAGCAATGCAATCTTTACACATTTTATGTGAACCCCAGCTTATTTAGGCTACATCCTTACATTTCATACAAATATTATAAGTTAACGATGGTAGGTTTAAAGAAGAATGCTCAAAATTACTTGAATAAAACGTAGAGCAATGTGTGTTCCTAAACTCATATTACTGTGTAAATGCATGGATTAATTTGAATGAAAGAATACAATTAAGACTCAAAACTACATTTGAAAAAGTGAAATTCAGCTTCATAAAATATGACATGATAGTATGACGGAGATGAGATGCAAGACGTGTCGTTTTGACACTGTAACTTTAAATTCAGTGTATACTTTATAACACAATTATAATATAAAATAAACGAATTGCTTCAATGATGTGAGATCATTCACAGCACAAATGTTTTAGTATTTTTCGAGTGAAATTATTAAACTTATAAGAGCTGCTTTGTATCATTACAGTATGCAAACAAGTCTAGCTCTTTTTTTTTTAAATACTTGTTTAAGACCCATTGTATCCTATATGGGTGTGTGACAATTTATTTAAATTTGAGTCGCGAGTGGTTAGGAAATATAAACAGGTTTATAGTTCTGCACAGCAGTGCAAAGCTTATATGTGACACAGTGGGATGACGGGGGAACAGGTTATCGTGACATCTATTACGAAACCGCTGGGAACACGGTGTCAATGAGTGTTGGTTCTTTTAAATAATAATAACACTATAAATGTGTGACAAGGTGGGTGAGTGGTAAGGTGTTTGGTCAGCTCCGGCCTCAGTGCATTCATTTTGCTCTATATTTATACTGATATTTTGATAAGGAGTCCAGATGGTCAGTGCCTTGACTCATTTTGATCTCTCCTGATCCTGAATTTCTGAAAGGCTTTATGATCAATACCAACCATTTTTGGATGTTCTCTCGTTTGTTTCTTTCTCAAAAATCTTCCCGTAAAGCACTTCGCCTCTGTAACTGATGTCCTCTCATTTCCTCCGAATGAAAGATTGTATTGCAGAAATCAACCTTTGAGTCTCCCAGTGCTCTTTGTTATGATAATTTTATTGTTGATTCTCCGAGGAAATGGACAATCCCTCACTCTCAGTAAGCACACTTTCTGTGCAAACAGTTCCATAAAGAGTCCTGGTCCACCGAATGCAAGTAGCTGCTCTCACTGATCACATAACGTGCCATGTTTATTGAAACAATACGGATTTGATAGGCTGCGCCTATATAGTGAATTCCGATACAGAGTTAATAGTTAAACGGCACCTATAGTCGAGTTCAAACATTGTCCAAACATGCTTTAGAGCTTGAAGTGGCCATAATACAACGGTGCATAAGAGATAAGCCATAACTGGGTTAATAAAACGGCCTTAGATATTTATTTTTCCAGACGCGTATTGGATAGAAATGCATGGCACATATAAATATAACGGGTGTTTTTATTTCTTAAGATTGCACACAACTGATAGCCTATGTTAAGCAGTTCGCATTGTTGTAGTGGTGACGATTGCTGATGAAATATAAAGTATATATTCTATATTTTCCAAAGGCCTTTTGGCTTAAGGGTTAGAAAGGTTATGAAACCTCCACGGGACGCGGTGTTTTCAAAGATCCAATAGCATATCTCTATTAGAATAGCCTATGAAAATCAAACTTATATATCGTAGCCTAGCATATATGACCAAGACCCAACTCCCCATTTCTCTCTCTCTCTCTCTCTCTCTCTCTCTCTCTCTCTCTCTCTCTCTCTCTCTCCGCTGCCCCTCTATAGCATTTAGCCACCAGCAGCCAGAGAGCAACAG